CTTTTATTTTCCAGGACGACATTCTCAAGTAGACATTGGTACAGCAAAATGTACCATAGTTTTTTTTTTTTCAGAATGAGGTAATTTAAGAAGCCCAACAAAACTAAAGCCGAAACAATTAAAATCTATTTTGGCCCATCTGAAAAAAAATTAACATGATTTTTTTTCTTAATTCAATAAGGAGAGTTGCCATTTTGTTGTTACTGTTTTTCATCCACTTTTAATTAATTTAAAAATTAGGTTACTTTAAATTAAATTGATCTGTCACTTTTTCTTCTGACCATACTCTGCCCAATTGCGAATTTGTATACTTGCAAATCCGTATAGATGCTATGTAATGGTTCTGAGGTAATAAAGTTTGAGGTCTAGCTCATAGGCAAGTTAGTTTACAATCGATTGCATAATCAGTACCGAACAGACAAACAACCAAACAAACAGAAAATAAAGTAAATTAATATTGTATTGCCATCCAGTTCTGGCTTAATCTATATAAATAAAATTATAGAGGTTTGCAGTTGTGCGCGCGTCACGGTTAACCTACTGGATATATTTCAATTAGGTTTTCTAAGTTTTATTTCTTAGACACTTCGCCCTTATTTAAAAAAATCTTCATTTAATATAAAGTCATTAAAGTTTTAAGAACGCGGACGAGGTTGCGGGTATCAGCTAGTTTAAAATAGATTGTAAAATTTGTACGGAACAGTCACTCAGAAGAAAGCTAATTTAAAACGTGTTAAAAACTGTATATCGACCAAATTGGCGATATTTTGAAAATGGGCCACGTTAGAAGTACCCTTAACCGACGAGCATGTATGCGTAGATATATGGATGTAAAGGAGGCGAAAGAGGTATGTCAGGATCGTGCCAAATGGAAGTCCGTAGTCTCTGCCTACCCCTCTGGGTGACAGGCGTGAGTGTTTATGTATGTAAAAACTGTATAAAGGTAAATAAGTAGATGTAGAATACTCGTAGATTCAGTTAATAAATACTGATCTAGAAACGCAAAACATTTACAGATTAATTAAAAACACAATATGATATAGAAATTGAAATTAAAAAAATGCTAATACAATGTAATGCAGGTAATCCGGCCCCAGTCTAATCCGGCACCCCCTGTAATCCGACATGGTCTATTATTTAATATTGAATATTTTTTTTGACAATCTTCGCTAATGCATGATTGAACAAGTTATAACTTGTACGCCCCACTACTATTGTGCTCGACGCGTAGGGTATTGTTTTGATTCCGATTGAAAAATTTGAAACGATTCTGAAAACGATTAAAAATCATAATTTTCCTCAAAAAGCGTTATTGGTTATTGCTTCTTGATAACACTCTTAAATTTATGCTTCCTAAATTGACTGATACATAATTTTTGATTATTTTAGTATGTATGTTTGTTTGTAAACCATTATTTCCTAATGTAAAGTTATTGCATATTTTTTGTAAGTTCTATAGCTTTAAAATTACGTTAATTTTATAATAAAACGTAAGCTCTTTATTGTGTTATTTCATTTACTAAATTTGACATACATAATGAAGTATGATTTGTACTTCAGAGTACATATATATATATATATATATATATAACACATAGAATCTTATCATTGGATCTGTAATTCGTCGGATTACAAGGTACCCTTTTGCAAAAAGTAAAGAATCCGATAGAAATTCGATAGTCCGATACTGCCCTGCAAAATATTTATCCACTGTATAAAATATTAAATTAAATTATCAGAAACAAAATTGGAACTCGTTTTACAATTATATAGACGTTTACTTCTATATATATTTTATTAAAAATACACATTGACATAAAATTGAGTATTCTACATATAATTTTTAAGCCCGTTTAATCAAATTATTTATTTTTTGTATTATGTTATGTCTGTCAAACGACAAGTTAATTTTGTACAAACGAATGACTTAATTCGAGATACTTTTTTGATTAAGCGTATCAAACTAAGGTTTCAAGTCATCACAAGCCCCTTCGTTGTTATAATGATATTTTCAAAATATGTACAAATGTATACCGGCCTAATGTAATCAAAAGCTCCCTTTCCAAAGTATATTATTATCTAAATAGTTAATTCTATTTTGGTATAAGGCAACAAGTTCAGTAATGACATATTCCTAGCGTATAGACTATAGATTTTTCCTGTAAAGTCGCAAATATACTAGCAATAAAATAAAAAAGTTAGATTCTTCATTAAAACTATGTATAATTTCTGAAACTCTGTTAACACTGTCAAAAACAATTATTTTCTTGCATCCAGTAATGGTTGACATATAACTCATCAATGCAGATTTAGCACTTCTCCAAATTATTTTCAAGAGAGATATCTCTCAAACTCTCTTCTCTCTTCTCTCTACACTACTTTAATAGTCAAAGAAAATTACGTACTTAATACATTTGAATGCCACAAAGAAAAATTACAAATACATAACGTGGTGTAGAAAAACATCATGGGGAAAACTGCATGTCTTCGAAAAATGCATGATAGGATTTATTAATTAATTACAGACGCAGCCTAAGAAAAAAGCGCAGAAGGATAATTAGCTAATTCAAAAAGTGTGAAAACAATTTTATTAATGTCAAAAAGTGTTTAAAATTTTTAACAGCAACTTGAGTAAGGAACATTTCTTCAAACATTTCTTTCATATATTTTATATATTATGGTGTACCTGTTGATGTTTATGGTAAAATTAAAAACGTTTGACAGAACACATTTTAGTTTCTTACGTCGAAAACAAAGAGATTTCAGTTCATAAATGTTTATAACGTTTGTCGGTAGTCAGAACATAAACGGCCTTATTACAAAAATTTGCCTTAAATTTAAACTATAATCCGTTTCACAAAAGAAGTTCCGCTCTATATATGCAAACTAAGGGTGTTCCCTGCATTAACAAGCGCGTGTCTGTAACGTAGCACGTGGTGCGTGCAGTTGGTAGTGACACGTTTAACGGGTCCGCGCAATAGCTACCCGGCACGTGATACCTAGCCCGAGCTTGTTTCATACGAATAAACGAGCTGCGTGACGTGGGCTGAACGAGCCGTAATACTTGATTTAGAATATCGTTTTAGCGTGGTTTATTAATGACGAGCGTCTCTATCCCTATAGAATTTACTTTTTCAATATTACGGGCCGATCATTACGCGATAAATATAGATGTTCATGATCGCAATAAAAGGAAAGTGGGTATTAATACCAGGGCAGCCCCACTATTCCTGACTACGGTGGCGGCCATGGTAACGGCGGGACAGGAGGTGCTAAGAATCTCCGGTGGAGGTTCGGTTGCCACCTCCGACGACTCGACCTGGCAACATATAACGCACGCATTCTGAATACTGACGAGAAGATCCTGGAACAGGAAGAAAAGGTGGAGAATTTGTGCTGGCATATTATATAGGTGTCTATAAGCACAAAAATTTAAGTGTTTATTTTTCATTTTAAGTTATTACAAGTACTATAAATACGTTAAATATAGACGATGCTCGTCAATAATAAATTAATAGATAATTCATTATGTAAGGCACGTCTGCTGGGTTAACCAGGGATTACGCCGCGGATGCGCGACGCGATCACGCTGCGTATACAGGCGAAATCCCGTTTATTGTAGCCTTAAATATAAAGAATGGACGAGATATTAGACAGAAAATGTCTAATCTCTTGAAGACCGCGGCGCCGCTGCAAAGGGACCGTTTTAGTATTTTTGAAATAGTGAGCACGATCATATTTTTTTGTAGGAAGACTGTTATTGTTTATTTTACTTTTGTTATTTGTACTAATTACTTCCCGAATATTATCTATATACAGCAATGTCAGATTATATAATATTAAACATTAATACACACTTATAGATACTTTAGTATTAAAGTACTCAAAAATATTCGAGATAAAAATAACATTTTTTTTTATTATTTATTTATAATTGTTGAAGACGCCAATACAAAACTTTACCTTCAAATCTCATTTAATAAATTATGTAAATTAACAGAAATCTAATTCGTAAACAAATAGCTATAAAATTTCAAATTCCATATCACAGAGATTTCGCGCAACGTTTTATTAATTCCTTTCCTTACTTTAACCATATCCACTCAATAAATAGAACATCGGACCTGAGCTGCGTGTTGACGTCAAAGTGTTAATGTACCGACAGCAAATAAAATAGATAAACAAAAACCTATTAAAATTTTACTTGAAATATTTCATCCGCCTACTGTCCATATTTTTAAAAGAAAATAAAAAAAGATAATTTTCATTTTTATAAGTAATCCAAAACTTACTTAATATCGTATGCTAAAATGTATAAACGCTTGTCATTTAATATTTTTATTTATTATTTTACGATATTATTTATTATTTTTTACAAATTACAAAGTGATGATTTATAAGAAAGAAAAGAGTGACATTCTATTCATAGTGGCTTAATAATAGTAACATTCCTAGAACCGCATGGCACTACTAATGTTTAAATTATTTATCTATCTGCTATCTTCCTTATTATAAATCAATTTCACTAATATTAGCTTACATATATATCAAATTCAACGAGACACTCTTTCATTTTAGCTGTTAGTCGGTATAACTCACCCAAGAGGTTGGCGGTTGTGGCTTAAGCAAGTAGTCCTAGATTTATTTTAGATTGTCTGAAAGTTAAAGGCTCGACGTCGATGAAGTATTTATATTTTAATCACCAGCCTGTTGTAGTCTGCGCCGAGCTAGTCGATTGGCTGTCCCATTTCAAAACCGAGTAAGACTATAATTTAGTTTTGCAGGAAGTTGACGAAACATAAATCGAGATAGTCCAAGGTTTTGGTTATTCTATATTAAATAATTTAAGAGATTAAAATTTTAGATTATTTAAGGCTTTATTGCAGATGTTTTTATGTATCTGTAAGAAAAAACTGCAATTGAGACTTTTAATAAAAACATTTTTATTAATTTCAATCACTGGGTTTTGATTTGGAACAGCCGGCCCTAACGAGAGGTGGTTATATAACTGCACTGCTAGCCATCATGTTGACGCCACAGGTGCCGTCACCGCGATACACGCGGTAATAGCCCTGTTCACCCCATGATGTGCCCCAAGAGTTCTTGATGGTCCAGTAAGGAAGGCGCTTGTGGAAAAGAGGATAGTCTGAAAAAACATCATTATGAAATTAGAACTATGTACTATATGTGTAATAATTGTGGTGTACCACAGGGTAGCATCCTGAGACCATTATTGTTTACATCATAGAAGGTCGTCAATAACTATTTGACTTGACTACATAATATATGTAGAGTGTATTATAAACTTATGACAAATTTATTAATAAATTTTCATAATAACAAGATATAAAAATACCCCAGAAAGTGTATAGCCATAATATTGGGTCTTTACCAGTGATTTTTTTACGGATTGAAAAAATAATTTACAAAAAAATTCTTGAAGAAACAATGGCAAAGAGCAGTTCATACTCAGGGTTGTTTGGGTGGCAGTTTCTCCACCATCATTTGCAATTCTTGAAACTAATGGTCAGCAGTAACTGAGGCACCAAATGCCAACAAAATATAATAAATAACACTAACAGTAGACCATCAAACTCTATGAATAAGTTTCTTCTGGCCAATCTTTCGTTTCGGTTTCATGAATGAAAACCCACCTTTCTCTCCATATCCCACGATGAGTACTCCGTGATCAATTTTGTTGGGATTGCAGAGTATCTTCCACGGGTGGGACACCCCACCCACATAAAACTGCATCGCATTTGCGTTTATGCCTGTGAAATAAAATTCGACTGTGACTAACAGAACACTAACGTCGGCCAACAATAATTTTAATCAATTACTTCACAGTTGTCAAAAAGTCGACTATGCTACAATTACACAATGCAGCACATAGTTGACTTAAATTTCTGCTGATAATCAGTAGGATCTAGACCAGGGGTGACGATGCGAACCTTTATGTATCAACGTGCTATTTTTCTAAAGAAACATTTAATTAGGTAATAGACGTGCCGTAAAATAATTTTGACTTCGTTATTATTGGGAAAATAATAGTACAAATACTATCGACTCAAAACTCTTTATTTACTACAAAAAATAAATAAATAGTTTTGAGTTGGGACATTTATTATGATATGCAAAATGTATTTTGCAATGTATAATAATAGATGTTTCAGTTAAACGCGTAATTCAAATTAAAGTAACATTAGTGTGACTTCTGTTGTTGCAGATTAGATGACAAATAACTTATATCGGGGTTGTAAAATCATAAGTATAACACAAATGAACTTTTAAATACAGTTGTGTCCTTATACGTGGTAGAGCCATGCTAGTTATAGTAGTAGTATAGTTGTAGCACGAATGAGTCGGCACGACCGGGGAAGGACCACGCTCTCACAGAATACCAGCGTAAAATAGTAGCTTAATGCTGCTGTATTTCGCATGGTGGCTGTACAGAACCGGAGACCCTTTTTACTGGAAACGAGGCATTCCATCTTAATCATCACGGGTGACAACGCATCTGCATTTGGTTTGTAATTGAGGATAGATGTAGATGTCTATGGGCCACAGCATCCACTTACCATCAGGTGAACTGTGTGCTCGTTTGTCACCCTATCCTATAAAAAAACGAAATTGACTATTATACTATGCGTTCGTAATGTAATACTTCATAGTGAACTTAGTGATTGGTGGCGTTCCCAAAATATTGTGCCGCATGTCATCGACGGCACGCGTGCCATTGCTTCGCCGTCCCTGATCTAGACAGTACGTTACTACAATATCATAAACTGTATAGATAAAAATAATACCAAATATTTTCCTTCACCTATTGATATGGGTCCATTGCTGACCAGCCATTTAGCCATATCGGTCTCATTGGTGGTAATGTTGACGGCGCCGCTGATGGTGACCTTCGACAAACTTTTGTTGAAAGAGCACTTGTCGTCCTCGCCTTCGTAGGGATAATCTCTCTCCGTCTCAAGCCCACCCAACTGCTCAATAGCTCTGCAATTCAAAAAACATAGTTAAAGTTGACTGCGAATAACCAGTAAACTATTGCAAACACCAGTCTGCCTGTCAAGCTTTGCCGTTGCATGTGCAGAAAAAACAATGTTTTTGTAAAATAAGAGTAAAAACTGGGGCTCATAGTCAGCTACATCTATCCTCAACCAAATTACTGTTAACATAATGATTTCTTATATTTACGGGATACTACACATAAAATAAAACTATTTTTACGGATGTTATCGCGTTAAAATTTCTTAATTTTAATTCCTGACACTTGTAGCACACAGTAGCAGGTGTTTTGCAACACTGTAAAAAATTTTATATATTTATATTTAATAATATATTTTCCTTCCATTACAGCCTAATTTAAATATAATTTAAGAAGTAAAATTATACCTATGATCGTGAAATGCAAAAAATTCGTAAAAATAGTTTTATTCAAAGTACTGATGCGACGAGGCATTTTATTTTAGTCCTCAGATGTTGCCACATCTGAGGACTAAAATAAAATGCCTCGTCTATCTAGTCTAAAGTCTAGTATATATCTAGTTAAAAGGGTCTCCAGTTCTCCACACTCATCGTACAAACAGAACAGCATTAAGCTGCTACTTTACGCTCTTATTCTGGAAGGGTGTGGTACTCCCCTGACCCAGCCGACCCATTCCTACTAAAACCATAATATAGCCGCAGCACGGCTATAATAATATAATAATAATAATTTATTTTCAGACTTTGTCCATAAAGATGTTAGTAGAACAATAACTACTATATAACAATATAGAACAATAACTTGAATAAATATAATTATAATAGTTTAAATATAAGTATCATGGAAATTGATAATTATTGCATAAATTAGTAGAATTTTATATTTTATTTATATAAATTACTAGAATTTTACAAAACCCTATACGCAGCAGGACAGAGTCGGAGACACATAATCGTCATGGATAGCAAATATTAACTATGTTTATTGTTCACATCTGGCAACGATGATTCACGTTGTTGATTCACAGATTATGGCACACAACTTTAGCCATCTACTATCTACAATATTATTTATTTATTTAAAGAATAAAGGAGAAAAACAAGCACACAGTTCAACTGATGTTAAGTGGATGCTGTTGCCTATAGACATCTACATCTACCCTTGATTAAGAATCAGAATGCAGATGCGTTGTCACCCCTGAGGACTTAGATGGAATGCCTCGTTTCAAATAAAAAGGGTCACCGGTTCTCTACACTCATCAAACGAAACACAACAGCATCAAGCTGCTATTTTACGGTGTTATTCTATGAGAGAGTGGTCATTCCAAGGTCGTGCCGACCCATTCGTGCTACAACTATATTAAATAATATCTAAATAGTAATAAATGTGCAATATAATTTTGCGCTTGTTATAAAAACACCTAATTACAAAAATGGTGACATTCTAATCATTCATTAGATTTTATTTCCGCCTGTTTTATTTACCGCGTGGAAATTCCAGCCGTTCTTTCAACATTACTGTTTTGTCCATAACATAATAAAACTCGAGTTTTATATTTATTGCATTGTGAACCATAAAATTGTCTAGAAACATCGTTATGTCCATATCTTGTGTCATAGTAGGAAAATATGTGGTTAAATTGTATTACAGAATATTTTCAATCGAGTTGTAAAATATTTATGGGTGTGTATAAGTACCTACCGTATTGATTCCGAGAGGGCTATGCTTGGAGTTTCAGTTTTTTTTTTTTCTTAGAAAGAATACTAATAACGCGAATAGTAAATTAATATTAATAATATTCCAGTTAAACACTCTGAATGAACCAAAAATTCTTGTGTTAAAAGTGGTTCACCATAGAAATCAAAGGACGATTCGAACCCACGCATCTGAGTTTGCAGTCTGCACTTTACAATTCGTTTACTGTCGCTTCAAACTGTGCACTATCACGTTTCCCTGCGTGATGGACTTAGAAATGAGGATATTAGCAGAAGAACCACAGTAACTGACATAGCCCAACGGATCAGTAAGCTAGAGTGGCAATGGACCTTCCATATACCTCGAATAACCGACAACTGACGAGAAAGAAAAGTTCTTGAGTGCCATTAAGCGAAGTGCAGGGCGACCCCCTACTAGATGAAGTGACGACCTGGTAAGAGATGCAAAAAGTCGATAGATGCAGTTGGCTCAGGACCGTGCTTTGCACCATTCCTCGGAAGAGATCCATGTTCGGCAGTGACTTTGTGAAGGGATATCGTCACAATGAAGATAAAGAACTAAATAAGTAGATTAAGCCCTTTCTCACACGAGCATAATATTTTACTTTTACAACGGACCTTACTCGAGTCCAGTGTATTTACAATGCATTTACGAGTTCACTGTAAGTCCACGACTGTGTGCACGCATTGCTCGTGTGTCGCTGCCATAAAATTTTACTAAGTTTATCAGGAAAATCCCTTGGCATTCAATAGATAACGTAATAACCATCTAAATTATACCAGATCTCAAATACCTAATGTAAGGCCAATGTTAAGACCTTTTCCTCAAATCCATGTCCTCATTTACATAACATGTTGATTAACGAGTGTTGGCGACGCGCCTATAAAAATGTTTCAGTTTATTAAATCAACCGATGACGTTGCTATGAAAAAAGGGGCAGTCACGAGCAACGACGCTCTGATAAGAGAATGCTTAGTTAAATCTTTAAGAAATGTCGAATTAATGATATGAAGGTCTTGGGTTCGACTCCCAGGCCGGACTAGTTTGTTTGTTTTCCTAAGTAATATCGCTTAATAAATTCGTAAGGAATTTAAGATATAAATTATGTTACCGGATTTGTTCCCCGGTCGAGATAATCACTCTGTGCATAGGCAGAATTAATGGATATTAATTGCATAAATGTTGTTTTGTATAAGTTTGATACGTTTTGTACGAAAACAAATGCCTATTTGTTATGATTGATTAATGAGAACATTCATTTATATTGTTATCTGATTAAAGATAGTTTCATACAGTTCGAAAATTGTATAAAAGCATTTAATTTGCCTAATATGGTCAAAATTGGTGTATTTCATAATTTAATTTTTTCTGATAGCCGAGAGCCGTGCAAAGTTAGTTGTTCACATAGCGTGAGTACACAGAAGCACGCTGGCCACGCCCTTAGGAGGCCGAATATGTAAAAATTTAAAATGTTTGTAATTCAGTGATTTATGTAAAAATTACTTGTAAAATATTTCAGGTTAATTGTACGTGCTAAAAAAGGTAAATTCTGTGTTATTTTCATGTGAAAATTCCTGTGTATAAGTGAAATAATGATAGTTTTGTATAAGAAATTTAAAAGTGTTTTAAATAGTGAAATAAATAGAAAAAATGTAAATTAAACTATTGTATTGGTTAGCTTATGTATAAATTCAAGTGAGAAACATTGTTTTAACTTTCTGTGTTAAATATTTAAGAAATTTCGATTTCGAACTTGTGAGTAAAATAGGCAGTTTTCGTTTAATAAATAAAAGGTTTTTTATGATATGAAGATATGATGTATATCATGGTGTAGACATTGTTTTGTACTACCTATATTGATAAATTGTATTTGTATATGATTTGAATAAATAAAGATATTGAGTAAAACGTGAGAGAGTAATAGAACAAATTCATGTAATTGAGTTGCGCAAGCGCGCGAATGGCGCGGCTCACTTTCGCGTATAGCTCTGGGGTAGGTTAGTAAATTGATTTTATTGCAATTCGTTCGGGAATCGTTCGGGAATCCTTCGGGGAAGTTCGGAAATAGTTCGGAAATAAATAAGAAAATCCGAGGAAAAGTTCAAGAAAAGTGAAAAACCAGCAGTATAGGGAAAAGTGATTACTCTCTCACGGAACGGTTTGAAGATAATTGCTGTTTCATTCCCAAGATCCTTTAAGTTATACAGTCCACATCGAAGAATTAAGGCGTCGGGACCGGGACGACTTCGGAAGACCCGTAATCCCCGTCTGAACCTACTTGCTGAAAAGGAAGAGGTTATCGCCCTAGTGTGTTACTCCGTTGCGGAGATCACATACGTTGTTCCCGAACCCAACGTAGGCGTGATAGGAGGCCGGATCGAGAGAAGCCTCGATTCCTGTTTCTTAGTACCCGATCCGCTAGGTCCTTTTCAATTGGTCCTTTTCAGGATCAAGAGGGACACCGACCTGGTCCTTTTCAATTGGTCCTTTGCGGCCGATTGAGAGGACGCCCGAACCTGAGTTCCTTTTCAATTGGACCTTCGGAGCCGGATTGAAGACCACCCGAACCCCGCCAGCTGGATCAAGGAACCAGCTGTGGACTGCTGGTTGTGGAAGAAGAAGACCTTCGGAAGCCGAGTGAAGATCAGCAACCGAAGGAAGCCAGAGGTTTGAGCTGAAGCAATAGGACCAAAGGCCTGAAGACCAGGACGGCAGCACTGAAGGGCTGGACCTGGAACTACCGGAAGAAAGAAAACCGGGATTGCAGCTTGGGGCGTGTGCTCGCATGGGGCACATATCGCAGCCGGGCGCAGGTGTCTTGTGAAGGCACTCATCGTAGCCAAGCAGGGCTTGGCATTTTTCCTGTCGGGCAAGCGTGCTCGGCATTTCCTGTCAGACGATCGTGTCTGGCATTTCCTGTCGGACGACCGTGTCCGGCATTTCCCGTCGGGTCATCAGGGTGCAAAAAGCATCCACCGCTGCTGCTGCCGGGCGAGGGTGCGCGTGGGCACCTGACTGCATCGCGGCCGGAGGAGGGCGCTTGGACGAGGCGTCACCGGCAACTGGGCGGCGAGCACAGCATACATCCCGACCACCTAACGGTGCCAAACGGTTGGGCTCTGGCATAACACCTTCGGGTGGAGCAGTTCTCTCGAGCGAGACTGCGCTTGCACTACCGCTCGACTGTTTCGTCATATTCCTTGGCGGGACAGTTCCTAAACCTTTCCTCCATTCCATTCCTGCACGACTCCATCCCTGGACGGCTCACCTCGGTAGGCCCCGTTCAGGATTG